CGTGTGTTTGTGTTGGAAAAGGTCCACAGATGTCTGTGTGGATCAGTTTTAGCAACTTTGTACTTCTAGTTGAACCCTTCTTCTTGTTGTTTATCAATTTTCCCTTAATGCAGTTAGTACAAATTTCGAAATCACCATAGTTTAGTGATGGCAGAATTTGTTCCCTAGTTAATCTTTGCATTCTTTCTTTTGAAATATGCCCTAATCTCTTGTCCCATAACTTGGATGAGGTGTCGTTTGTTAGTGCTCGTTTGTGCCTTATTATGTTAACCACACTTGTTGGTATATTGTAGTTAAGTTTGAACATGTCACCAACCAATACTCCATCACCAATTAAGTTAGAACTTCAAAATATTGAAAAGCCATTCTCATTAATATCAAACTTAAACTTTAATTTAACAAGCCTACTAATTGAGACTAAGTTCCTTCTCATGGAAGGTATATAAGCAACATCAACCAAATCTAGCAAAAAAACCAAAAAATAATTCAAGCCTAACTACTCCAATGAACTCCACTGCAACTCTAGCTCCATTGCCCACGAACACTGACACCTCATCCTTGTTTGGCACCCTTTTACTAATGTGCCTTGCAATGAGTTTGTCACATGAATTATAGCACCAGTATCAGGCCACCAAGTATCATAAGTTATCTCAACCAAGTTCAATTCAAAACAAACTAAAATTTTATGCAGCATACCTTTATTTTTCTTACTCTCCTTGTTTTCTTTCCAGCGTTTATACCTAGTGCACTCCTTTTTCTAATGTCTTATCTTCTTGCAAAAGAAACATTTCATTCCAACACCCATATGAGTTCTCATATGGTTATTGCCCTTATTGACCCTTCCTGCAGACCTTTTGTTGTTTTTCTGTCGAAGGTTGTCTTTCTCATTAGGAGGATTGATACTCTCCATTGCATTGACTTGTTTCTTTCTTTTATCTTGTCGAATATTTTGCTCCTCATGCACACAGATAGCAATCAACTTGTTCAGTCCCATTTTTCTTTCTGAGCTATGTAAGTACTCTTCCACTGAGAGTACTCGAGAAGTAAGGAATTGAGGGCAAGATACACTAGAAAGGGTCATCTATTTTGATGTTAAGTGCATTGAGCTTTGCAGCTACATCAATGTGCTCTCTCACATCACCACCAAGATATTTAGTGGTTATAAGAGTGTTCATGAGTGTTCCAGTTTCAGTGTAACTCAACCTTTGTTTGGTTTTTCAAGTTTAATCAGTATCAGTGCAAAATATATAAGTTGCGTAATGGTACAACATGAAAGCCATCCACCTTTGTTTGGCAATTAACTTTCACAGCTCATGCATCTTATATGTTCTCATTGAGCTATTAGTAACCTAACCAATGTCAATTAGTCACACCTTTATTTAGGGATATAACCTCATTGTTATGGCTACTTATACAAGCTGATCAATTTAAATCTTGAATTTTTAGCAATTCTTGAATGATTGGAACAAATTTGTTGTGTTTCAATCATTCAATTACATCTCAAAAAGATTGGTCATGATATAACTTTCAGCATGTTATAAACCTTAAAACCTTCAACTATCAAACATGATTACCAAACAAGACTTCTACACCAAACAATTTCTTAGTTTTAATAGGACAAAGACAATTCTTTACATCAGTCATGTATGGTAGACAGTTTAGGGTTTCTGTGGATGTAAGCACAACATTCATGGCTCTTGTTTGCAGTTCTTTTATGCATATTTGATGGGTGCATATTTTCATATATTATTATCATATATTTCCTTTGGATTTTGTATATATGAATGGGTTAAATGCACTAATTTATATTGTTTTAATTTATAAGCATTCAATACGGGAATTATGTGAAAAAGAAATGAAAATGGAGATTTCAAGTGTCTATAGTAATTTCAGTGAAACAAGAGGCTAACTAGCTGCACAAAGACATGTTCATTACAACAAGAAGATGAAACCGAGCAATTTTGGAATCAAATAGAGATGGGAATGCTATTAAATGGAATTTAGGAGATAACTTAATTTCTAGCTTTTATTATTTCCGTTTATTTTTCATTTTCTTTGATAAGGACTTCAAGTCCATTAGTGATAGGATTTTAGTGGAGTTTTAATTGGATTTCAATTAGCCCTTAATACCCTTGTCATGGGTTTTATATTAAGGAGATCCATTCTCCTTGTGAAAAGTAAGGATTCAGTCACCAAAACAAAACATTATCATATTAGACACAGGGGCTGCAGCAAAGAAGGACAAGAGGGAAGAGCTTTTCTAGTTTTCTTTTCTTTTCTAGGGCTACGATGTAGCCTGATCATGAATACTTAATTATCTTGTGGCATTGTTATCATCATGTTTTTCATCTTTATTGAGTATCTTTTGCTATTCGTAATGCGCTTGATTTTTATTTAGATGCTTGATCACCATCTAGGTTTAAATTAGGTTGAATTGATGCAAGTTAGAGTAGATGCCATACTTAACTTGGGTTTAGCTTCTTGCAATTGATACCATAAACACCTATTTGTAGATGTCATGCAATTAGGGTTTGTGTGATTTTCTAATGATTTTCATAGAGCTTAATGGGTTCTTACTTGTTTAAATTTATCTAGATGCCATAGAGGATTAACATGTACGGATACTTTTGGTGCAACCAAATGCCATGGCCGTTCAATAATTTAGGGAAAATCGATCATCAATATTGGGGAACTACTTGAGCATAACATATTAAGGGAAGTGAATTCGGATACCCTAGGTCTCATTTTCTTATGTTTCAATTTATAATTGACATGCATTTTATTTTCAAGCTTTATTTTATTTTAGTTTAATTTCAAAATTTCATATGTTTTCCGTTAAAAGCTTCTCCATTATAATTTGTTTCAATTTAGTTAGTAAGATTTTTAGAATCAATTCGATCTCTGTGGGACGATATCCGTTTTTCAAAGCTATACTATCATCCGATTCGTATACTTGCAAGCACTAAAATTCGAGACTTAATGAAGTTAATTTTGGTTATCTAATTTTCGCAACAATATTACTTAGTCCTATATTTAGTCAATATTATTATAGATATGCAAGGAAAATATCTCAAGACTTCATACATGCAAGTATTAATCATAGCAGCGGAAAAGAAACTAGAATTGAAATTTAAAGAAATATTAGTTCATTCATGTTGCATGCATGATTTCAAGTATGTCAGTTCTTTATGGATTTTAATTACATAAACTAGGCTCTGATACCAACTATTAAGCCTAATATGTTTATGTACCATTAAAACACCATTGAACTAACCTTGAGAAGTGATCTTCCTAACATGGCAAGGACTATAATTGCAGCAAGCTTTCCTCTTGCACCCTAGACTTTAAGGGTTGGTCTTCTGCACACTCACCACCACTGAATTACTCGAACCTATGGGGAGTTCTCCAAGTATATGTATTGGTGGTGTATGCAGGGACCTTTCCTTGGTATTTATACTACTACAACCCTAGCATACATTCCCATAATCATACGCTAGGATTCCTTATTGTTCAAGGATATAATCTACCAAATCTCAATCCAAATAGGATAGTATCAAGAGCCCTCATTCTCCAATTATAACCGGGTTATATACCTTTACTTGGAGTCTAAGTTATAGTTTATAACTAAACCCTAATCACACTTACATTCTACATCAATCCTTACTAACTATATTGACCTATTAGCCGTTGGATTAGAGTCTAACGTCCAACAATATCATCAACATATAGTAACAAATGAATAGGAGAGGAGGCAACACTGAAGAATCAGCTTGACTTTGCCAAAAGCCAAAGAAAAACAAAAAGGAACTGATCCAATGGAACCCCGCACAGGGTTTTGCTTAAGACCATATAAAGATTTTGAAGATGACAGACATAATGTGGACAAGAATGATCTATAAACCCTTGAGGTTGAGACATAAACATCTTCTTGAAGACAGCCATGGAGGAATGCTTTTTTCACATTTAATTTTAAAAAAAAAACGGCGTATGCACAAGAAATAGAAAGACTTAAAACAGTGCGAATAGTGGCTAGTTTGGCAACATAACTGAAGGTCTCAAATAGTCAATGTCGGGTCGTTAATGAAAAGCCACAGCCACAAGGCTAGTTTTGTACTATTCAACGGAACCATCTGGATTCCGCTTGATACAAAAAACGCATTTGCAACCAAATATAGTCTGAGCAGGTCGAGGCGGAACAAGAGACCACGCCTAGACATTAGTTTTCTCATTCATGGCATTGTGCCATTCCGAATGCTTAGAATCCTAAGAAAAACAAGTTAGCATTGTGCCATTCTGAATGCTTAGAATCCTAAGAAAAACAAGTGAACTTACCAGAATTAATAGATATTATAAAAGTAAAAGGAAGAGGAGACCGGATTGTGTCGCCGTTAGTGAAAATCTTAGGTTTAGAGATGCTGTCGCGAATGAGTGTCACCATGTATTGGAATTTGAAGGTGTACTTTTTATTATGAAGGAATAAAGTACAAAGATAGCTAATATAAATGAGCATAGAAAGAAGAAAGAAACAAGAAACACAAAAACAAGTTTTCCTTGATTTATGCCTAATCACCTAACAACTAAAGCAAAATCAGCAATCCCTTGAATTAAGGAGAATGACAGCCATACTTTAGTAAGAATGACATCCATACTTTAGGTGTTAGACAACACCCTCATGTATACACCCATGCTACCTACCAGTTAGGGTAAGAGACAAATAACTAGACTAGATCTTCTTCCAATACTCCCCCTCCAATTGGATCAAACGGGTTGATTGAGCCAAGCTTGGACAAGAGATGATGAAAAGAAGCAAACGGTAATCCTTTTGTGAAGATATGTACAAGTTGATCATGACTATGAAGGAAGTGGGTATCAATCACCTTAGACTGTACTTGATTTCGAACATAGTGGCAGTCAACTTCAATGTGTTTAGTTCGCTCATGAAAGACAGGGTTTGATGCTATGTACATCGCAGCTTGATTATCACAGTAGAGAGACATGGGTTACTGATGAGGAAACCCTAAGTCCAATAACAGATTTTTGAGCCAAATAAGTTCACAAGCAGTCGAAGCCATAGCACGGTATTCTGCTTCTGCACTAGAGCGCGCAACCACGCTTTGTTTCTTGCTCTTCCAGGTGACTAGGTTACCTCCTACAAAGGTGCAAAACCCAGTGATAGACTTACGATCGAGAGCGTTCCCCGCCCAATCTGCATCTATATATCCTGAGATATGAGTGTGATTATTATTGCGCATGAGAATCCCTTTTCCAATGGAGCCCTTCAAATAGCGAAGCACACGATGAACAATCTTCATGTCATCCATGCTTAAAGCATGCATAAACTGGCTAACAAGACTCACGGCATATGCTATATTAAGACGAGTGATAGTTAGATAAATGAGTTTGCCGACCAATCTCTGATAGTACTCTATATTGGGAATAGGATCACCGTGAGATTGCAGCTTTAAGTTACTATTCAAATGTGTGCGAGCAGGTTCACAATATGCCATGTTGGCCTCACGAAGAAGATCAATAACATACTTACGCTGATTTAGAAAACAACCCTTGTGAGAGTGTGCTATCTCGATCCCTAGAAAATATTTAAGAATGCCGAGATCTTTGATGGCAAACTTGTGATTGAGATATTGTTTAAGAGCACTAATCTCTGACATATTATCACCTATTACAATGAGATCATCAACGTAAATAAGCACCACAAGTTTACCCGATGTGCTTGAACGCACAAATAAGGAAGAATCAACATTGCTCCGACAGAAACCAACTCTTTCTAGAACATGACTGAGCTTGGCATACCATGCACGTGGACTTTGCTTGAGACCATAAATGGATTTATGAAGTTTACATACCATTTCTGGATTGTTTGATTGAGGATGACCTGGAGGCAGTTTCATGAAAACTTATTCCTCAAGCTCACCATGCAGGAAAGCATTTTTAACATCCATTTGAAAAAGAGGCCATGCATTGTTAATGGCTACAGATAACAGCACCCGCATAGTGTTCATCTTTGCCACGGGAGCAAATGTCTCCTTGTAATCTACTTCATAGGTTTGAGTAAATCCTCGAGCAACCAAACGAGCTTTGTTCCTTTCAATTGTGCCATCTGAATGGAATTTGGTCTTGTATACCCAACAACTTCCCACAACCTTCTTTCCTTTGGGAAGTTTCACTATAGTCCAGGTATTGTTTTCATTAAGAGCTTGAAGCTCTTCTACCATAGTAGCTCTCCACTCACTGTGTAAATTAGCTTCTTGAAAGCTTTATGGTTCATATGTTTTAGTAATTGCACTGAGGAATGCAGCAAAGGAGGATGAAACTTTGCTGTAATTAATAGCAGAAGTCAAGGGATACCTGACATTGTAAGTTACGTAATCATGTAACTTGGATGGAAGTTTCCTCTCACGGGGAGGATTTTGACGAACTATGAGAGATTGAGTTACTGGAAATTGAGCAGTTTCTTGGTTGGACAGACTGCTTGAAGGTTCTGATGAGATAGGTTCTTCAGGGACCACCAGTGGAAAATTCTGCAGGTTGCGAGAATCAACCTCATTCAATACCTTGTCCCTTGAAATATCTGTTGTATCCTCTTCACTTAGATATGGTATTGGGAACAAGTCAAGCAAATTATCCCCCTCTCTAGAATAGTTCAAAGGTTGAGTGAAGTAAGGCATGGTTTCTTCAAATTTCACATCTCTTGAAACAACTATTTTCCTAGTTATTGGATTGTAGCATTTGTAACCCTTTTGAGTGGATGAATAGCCTACCAAAATACATTTGGCAGCCCTTGGATCTAGTTTGTCACGATTTGGTGCTTGTACGTGAACGAAGCATGTACATCCAAAAACTCTCAAATGAGATAGATTGATCTGTCTATCTTTCAAGACCTCATAAGGTGATTTAAAATTCAATATCTTACTAGGCAATCTATTAAGATATGCAGTAGTAAGAACACCTTGTGACCAAAATTTTTTAGGCACATTCGAGTGAAACAAAAGAGCTCTAGTTTTTTCAAGTAGATCTCTATTCTTCCTTTATGCTACCCCATTTTGTTAAGGTATCCCAACACAACTAGTTTGATGTAATATACCATGTGTGCTTAGATAGTGAGACATGTTATGGGACATATATTCGGAGCCATTATCTGATCGTAAGACATGAATGTTTGAAGAAAATTGTGTGTTTACAAGTCTATGAAAATCTTGAAAATCTTCCAGCACTTCACTTTTTAATTTCAAAAGATACAACCAAGTGATCCTTGTGAAATCATCCACAAAAGTTACAAAATATTTGTATCCGTCAAATGACTCTAGGACTGGTCCCTAAACGTCGGAATGCACGATTTCAAAAGGATTACTAGCCCTAGACAAGGAGGAAGCGAAAGGTAATCTAGTGGACTTAGAGAAGTGACAAACATCACAGGAACTTGTAACTTTGCACATGTTTGGAAACAAAAAAACAAAACTTTATCAGAAGGATATGTAAGTCGTTGGTGCCATAGTTGTTGTTCTTGAACCAAGCTTGAAGTGACTTGGAAAACCTTGGGAATTTGGACATGCTTGGAAAGGTAGTAGAGGCCATTTAAGAAAAAACCTTCACCAATCGTCTTCTTGGTGTTGATATCCTGAAAAACCACAGTTTTTTTGGAGAAAATAGCAAGACAGTTCAATGAGTTTGTGATTTTTCCAACAGACAAAAGCTGAAAAGGGAATGAGGGACCATAAAAAGCCTCAGACTCGACATCACTAGAAATCAATGTGTTTTTCCTCTCCCAACAACCATAGCACCCTTACCATTAGCAACTGACACTTGAATTTGGACATGAGAGTTTTTCAAAATTATGCAAGTTTGTAGACTTGTTAGTCATATGATCAGTAGCTCCTGAATCTATAATCCAATAATCATGCACATTACCTACTTTGAAAGCAGTTGAGAAGGTTTTTAAGATACCTGGAATATCTTGTTGTGTCACACCTTCATTTTCAACCAAAAAACCAGTAAATTGCCCAAGTAGAGCAGCTTGTTTGTTGTCACCTTGACTAGTTAATCCTTTATTTTCTCCATGACCTTGTTTCTTGTGAAGGAAGGCAGCAAATTCATTGATCAGGGTGGCTGGATTGGAAGTGAACTTCTGTGCTCCCTCGGAATGAGTGGTGACGGTATGATTTGCCTTGTAGGATGAGTTGTGTGAACCTTTAGGGAAACCCTTGTGGTTGTCCCTAGAAAACTTGGGCCTTAGTTCAGGATGGAGAATCCAGCAATGATCTCGTGTATGTCCACCAGTATCACAGTAGCTACATTTCACAATAGGTTTCTTTCCTTTGTAGCCCCTCTCTTCACTAGTTTTGTGGTTAGAGAGATATACCCTAGCTTCGGGTATATTTGCCTTTAATTCCATAGTCATGATCTTCCTACGAGTTTCTTCCCTTTGAATTGTGGCACACACACTTGAGAATGAAGGAATATCAGGATTCATGAGAACATGACTCCTGAGATCTTCGTATTCAGAACTTAGACTCGTAAGAAGTTGAAATATTTTGTCTTCATCAGCTCTCTTGGTCAGCACGGCAGCGTCAATAATGTGTGGCCGATAAACATTCAACTCGTTCCACATGGTGGTTAACTTCCCAAGATGCTGCACAAATGAGTTCCTTCCTATTGTAGACTAGCAATATCTTTTTTTAACCGGAACACTCGAGCTGCATTATTCTGATTCCCATACATTTCTTTGAGATTTTTCCAAATGATGCAGGAGGATTCAACATAGCTGAAAATTTCTGCAATCTTTCGATCCATAAAATTGAGTAGCCATGACATGACCAACTGGTCCTTGCACAACCAATCATTGTAATCTGATGAGGACACATCAGGCGCTAGAATAACACAATTAACATAACCAAGTTTTGATTGTCCTCCCAAGGCAAGAGTGACTGCTCTCTCCCAGGGAAGATAATTGAACTCATTTAGTAAGACGGAACTGAGACGTTGATTTGGATTGACATCAACATCTAAATGAAATGAAGATGGCGCAGCATGCGAGCTAACTTATTCGCCATGCACTGAACTATCTTCAACCATGATAGAGAATCAGGAAAAACTCACAGATCTCTCAAGAAACTACTCAAAAATAGGTCGATTAAGATCACTGCTCTGATACCATATTGGAATTTGAAGGTGTACTTTTTATTATGAAGGAATAAAGTACAAAGATAGCTCATATAAATAAGCGTAGAAAGAAGAAAGAAACAAGAAACACAAAAACAATTTTTCCTTGATTTATGCCTAATCACCTAACAACTAAAGCAAAATCAGCAATCCCTTGAATTAAGGAGAATGACAGCCATACTTTAGTGAGAATGACAGCCATACTTTAGATGTTAGACAGCACCCTCATGTATACACCCATGCTACCTACCAACTAGGGTAAGAGACAAATAACTAGACTAGATCTTCTTCCAAAACCATGGGATAAGTAAAATGTGTGACTAATGAGGGAATAACCAGAAGGGGCGGCTGGGCACTGATAGTGGTAGGGACATAGGCTACTAAGGTAGAGGCGTACTGGGTTGCGCGTTAGATTAGACACAAGGGGCAAAATCGGCTAGAGAGACAGCACGATGCATGCGCGGGTATGACAGAATCTGAGATGAGAGGCTCTGGACTAGGTGGTTCTGGGATGTAGGTGGGAGCACACAAGATCAGAGGTGTGGTCAGTGGCTGGCATGTGACGAGGTGTGGTCAGTGGCTCTCAGTGAAGACATAAACTCGTGGTAGAATTACGTTGGGTGTGGGCTAGGATGGGCAAAATATCTGTGGGTTTGGGTAACCGCGGTTACCCGTCCATTTAAAGTTCACGATTATACTTATGGATAACCGTTTAGACGAACATGGGTATAACCGTTTATCTGTGAAATTTAAATGGGCGGTTATGGGTATTATCCGTGATTATAAACGGGTATCCATCAGTTATAGGTATTACCCGCGGTTATAACGGGTATCAATTTACCCATTTAATTTAATATATGTAAAATTACCCATTAATTTTCAAAATCTTTTTTTTTAATGAAAAGAATTGTTGGAGGGATCGATTTTTGACAATGATAAAGTGCCTATTTATACATTTAGGGTTGATGAATTCATATGTTTTTTAAATGTTAAACTATTTCGTGGTCATAACTGATTATGTTAAATTAATTTATTCAATCGGTTATAGGTATTACTCGCGGTTATAACGAGCATCCATTTATCCATTTAATTTAATATAATAGTTATATCGGTTATGGGTATTACCCTATGATCACTTAATTCTGTTGGATTCATGCTAATTGGTGTCGATGTTCCTAAATAGGATACTAATTCAATTTATACATTTCTTTTGTATGCCTCTTTTGGTAACAACGAGTCGATGAGACTTTGTGATTGAATGCTAAAGCATTAGTGTTCAAAAGTGTTTAGTTTCGGAATATTTTGAAGCTTTGAATCATCTAGTATTCAAGATAATGACTACTTTTTGTTTTTAGAATCTTTACTTTGTAATCATATGGATTATAATTAAAGACATGCTTGGGTGCAGCAGAAAAATATCGTTCATAAATTATTATTTCAATTATTGGAATTGTATGAGGACTTAAATGATTAAAATAGAGAAATGCTTACTAAAATGTACCTACAACGATGTTTAATTATCAAAAAACGAAAATTATGACAAATTTTTCTTTTGTAATTTTCAAGTTGTTAAATAAAAAAAACAAACAAACATGTAGACGGATGAAAAAAATGGGTAAATGGGTAAAAATAAAATAAAAAGGATAAACGGGTTCAAAAATGGGTAAACGGGTAAATGGTTATGGTTAAATGGGTAAACGGTTATGGTTAAATGGGTACACAGTTATGGGTATGGTTAACCATTTATAAACGGTTATGGGTATGAATATAACCGTTTATACAATTACCCAATAGGTAAACGGTTATGCGGGTATGAATATAAACCGTTATGGGTAATTAACCGTGGTTACCCGTCCGCCATAACTGTTGCCCATCCCTAATGCGGGCTAAACAGGTGTGTGTTGTCCAAATGAGGAGGGTTGGTGAAACGACCCAGTGTAGCAACTTGGTGTAGTCACAACCTGTTTGGGCATCAAGACGCTGATAACTCTTATTGTGAGTACTATAACTTATGAAGGCACACGGCTTAGACTGAGGCATATGGTTCATGATGAGG